TAATGTGAGTTCTGAGAGGCTATCTGAATGTTAACACAAGTGGTGACTAACCAAGTCGGGCAATAGAAAGGATCTCAAAAAGAAGAAGCTGACACCTCGAGGATTCGTGAGTTTCTGAGAATGAATCCTGCCAGCTTCACCGATCAAGCACTACTGAGGATCCGGAAAATTTTGTAGAAGAACTGAAAAAGACTTTCGATGTGATATATGTGGTTGGTGCTGAAAGAGTTGAGATAGATGTATATCAACTGAAGAATGTGTCTTGGACTTGGTTCGATCAGTGGAAGAAGGGCATAGATGAAGATACACCATATTCGAGTTGGGCCTATTTTGAATAGACTTTCTTGGGATGTTTCTTTCCCTGACAACTGTAAAAGTCAAAGGTACAGGAGTTCCTTACACTAAAACAGGACTCCTTAAGTGTTCATGAGTATGAATTGAAGTTCATATAAATATCTCACTGTGCTCCTAAAGTGGTTAAGGATATGAGGAGCAAAATGAGCTTGTTTGTCGCTAGATTAGGTCATGCATCAAGCAAATAGGGAAGAGCTGCAATACTAATCATTGACATGGATATATCCAGGTTCATGGTGTATGTGCATAAAGTTGAAGTGGAGAAGCTCAGAGACAGACAGGAGCACACGAACATGAAATTTTAGACTGGGAATGAGTCTGGGCAGCAAAAGGGTGGTTCAAATCGGCCAAAGTTTCAAAAATAAAAAGGGCATGAACCATCATCTGCCAGTGCACCTACACCTAAAAACAAAGGTGAGTACAATGGACAAAATTCGAAGAACTTCAAGACTAGACCAACCCAGTCCCAAGGTAGTGTGGCACAAAGAGGTAGTTGGGCTCCTGCATGTGGTAGGTATGGTAAAAATGCAGAGATATTTGGAGAGGTAACAAAACCCTATACTTTTCATTACAAAACAAATAAACCAGAAAAATATGGATTATTTTGTGAAAGAATTTTTGGTCCTATAAAAAGCGGAATTTGTGCTTATGGAAATTATCGAGTAATCGGAGATGGAAAAAAAGATGCGGGTAAGTTGGTGATGGCCAATCAGGCTGCCTCAAGTGCAGTCAAGAGGGTCACTTCATGAAAGAGTGTCTAAGAATAAGAAGGGAGGTGGAAATCTGGGCAATAAAGCTCAAACTTCATCAGTTGCTCCACCAGACAAGACTGCACCTAGAGGGACCACTTTTGGTAGGGGCATAGGGGCAAACCGCCTCTATGCAATCACCAGCCCTAAGAGCAACAGAACTCTATAGATGTTGTCATGAGTATGATCAAATTCTTTACTTTTGATGTTTATGCTTTGTTATAAGCAGAAGCAAGTTTATCTTTTGTAACTCCTTATGTTATAAATCAGTTTGAGATTCTTCCTAAGAAACTTTGTGAACCATTATATGTTTCTACCCCTGTTAAAGAGTCTATTATAGTGGAAAGAGTCTATCGTGATTGTCCCATTTCTATCAATCACAAGAACATCATGGCTAATCTAATGGAGCTAGACATGGTAGATTTTGATGTCATTTTATGTATGGACTGTCTTTATGCATGTTATGTGTCAATAGATTGTAGAACTCGAGTTGTCAAGTTTCAAATTCTTAATGAGCCAGTTATAGAGTAGTGTAGTAGTTCATCAGTGCCTAAGGGTCGTTTCATTTCATACCTTAAGGCAAGAAAGTTAGTTTCAAAAGGGTGTATCTATCACTTAGTCCGAGTTAATGACTCAAATGTTGAGGTACCTTCCCTTCAGTTAGTTCCTATAGTAGAAGAGTTTCCAGAATTCTTTCCCAATGATCTCCCAGGAGTCCCTCCTGAAAGATAAATATACTTTGGCATAGACATCATTCCAGATACTCGTCCTATCTCTATTCCGCCATATAGAATGGCACAAGAAGAGTTAAAAGAGTTGAAACAGTAGTTGAAAGATCTGTTAGATAAGGGTTCTATTCGACCAAGTGTCTCACCTTGGGTGCTCCGGTCTTGTTTATGAGAAAGAGGGATGGTTCCCTTAGAATGTGTATAGACTACAAGGTTACCATCAAGAATAAGTATCCTCTTTCAAGAGTAAATGATCTTTTCGACCAGCTTTAGGGTGCTTCCTACTTCTCGAAAATTGATCTCAGATCAGGCTACCATCAGTTGAGGGTAGGGAATATTGTATTCCAAAGACAACGTTTAGAACCAGATATGGGTATTATGAGTTTTTGGTCAAGTCCTTTGATTTGACCAATGCGCCTACAACATTCATGGATCTTATGAATAGACTTTTTAAACATTATTTAGATTTGTTTGTTATCGTCTTCATTGAAGACATACTAATCTATTCAAAGAATGAAGAAGATCATGATAGTCACCTCAGAATAGTACTTCAGACTTTTAAAGAAGAGGAGTTTTATGTCAAGTTCTCCAAGTGTGAGTTTTGGCTAAAGTGTGTGGCATTCTTGGGTCACATAGTTTCCGATGATGGGATTAGAGTTGAGTAGAGTGGCCTAAACCCACGTCTCCAACTAATATTAAGAGTTTCTTAGGTTTGGCTAGCTACTATAGAAGGTCTGTTGAGAGGTTTTCATGTATCTTGTCTCTCTTGACCAAGTTGACTCAAAAGATAGTTAAATTTTTCAATGGTTCAAAGCTTGTGAGAAAAGGTTTTAGGAGTTGAAAAAGAGGTTGACTTCTGCTTCGGTTTTGACCTTACCAAAGGGTACTCAAGGTTTTATGGTGTATAGTGATGCATCAAGAGTTGGTTTGGGTTGTATGTTAATGCAGAATGGAAATGTTATAGCTTATGCCTCTAGACAATTGAAGGTTCATGAGAAGAATTACCCAACCCACAACTTGGAGTTGGCTGTTGCGTTATTCGCCTTAAAGATGTGTCATCACTACTTATACGGTGTTGTTGATATATTCACTGATCACAAGAGCCTACAATATGTGTTCACCCAGAAGGAGCTCAATCTCAGACAAAGGAGGTGGTTAGAACTTCTCAAAGATTATGACACGAGTATTCTTTACCACTCATGTAAGGCTAATGTGGTTGTTGGTGCTTTAAGCAGATTATCTATGGGGAGTACCGCCCATATTGAGGAAGAAAACGGGGAGTTAGACAAACATGTGCATAGACTTGCACGCCTTGGAGTCAGACTTATGGATTCCATGGAAGGAGGAATAGTGGTAACTAATGGGGCTGAATCATCACTAGTGTCAGAGGTGCAAGAAAAGCAAGACCAAGACCCCACTTTGCTTGATTTGAAGGCAAATATTCATTAGCTGAGAGTACTAGCTTTTGAACAAGAGGGAGATTGTGTGTTGAAGTATCAAGATAGATTGTGTGTGCCTAGGGTGGATGGGCTCAATGAGAGGATCATGGAGGAGGCTCATAGATCCATATATTCCATTCATTTGGGTTCCACCAAGATGTACCGCTATTTGAGAGAGTATATTGGTAGGAAGGTATGAAGAAGGACATTGCTGAGCTTATTGCCAAGTGCCTGAATTGCCAGCAAGTGAAAATGGAACACCAAAGGCCTAGAGGGTTGGCTCAGAATATAGAACTTTCGGAGTGGAAGTGGGAGATGATTAACATGGACTTCATCACAGGCTTGTCAAGGACTCGCAGGCAGCATGTATCAATTTAGGTGATTGTCGATAGAACGACAAAATCTACCCACTTTTTACGGTGAAGGACACTCATTCGGCAAAGAATTGTGCAAAGTTATGCATTCAGGAGGTGGTGAGACTCCATGGTGTCCCAGTTTTAATAATTTCAGATAACACAATTTATTGCACAGTTTTGGAAGTCTTTCTAGAAAGTTTGGGTTTTAAAGATGAACTTAAGCACTATTTTTCATCCTCAGACGGATGGGAAGGTGAAGTGTACTATCCATACCTTAGAAAATATGTTGAGGGATTGTGTGATCGATTTCAAGGGGAATTGAGATGACCACCTACCTCTCATTAAGTTCGCTTACAACAAAGTTAACATTCGAGCATCCAAATGGATCTCTATGAAGATCTTTATGGGAGAAGATGTAGATCTCCTATTGGGTGGTTTGAAGTTGGTGAAACAGGTTTGATAGGACCAAATCTAGCTCACCAAGCCATGGAAAAGGTGAAGGTGATTCAAGAGAGAATGAAAATGGCACGAAGTCGTCAAAAGTTCTACACAAATTCAATCGGTTGCATAGTTGCATCTAGAACATTGTTTCATGATGGAAGCATCTTCCTTATGATATTTATCAAAAGATATTTCTTTATATTATTTCCTAACAATTTTGTCAAGATTTGGCAGGAAGCATAATCCGTACACAGCAATGAGACACACAATGCAATGTGAAACTTTATTAAGCTGTGAACTGAGGTAATTTGTTGAGAAATTTTAACTTTCCAACAAAGGTCAAAGGTCCACCTCGAACTCTGCTCGACTCTACTCGGAAATACTCTCCTAGATCAAAAAACCTAGTAACGTCATAGTTCAACACTAGGCAAACCTTGTCTTATTTGTTGATCAGGACAAAATTGTCTACTATGTCAGCTTCTTATCCAAAAACCCTTACATTGTCTTTGCTCAAAGAGGTACAAGCTATTGACACTAAATTTTGATCCCCCTTTCATCAAATTACATTTTTTAAGCTTCAAAGTTAATAAATTATTTTACCGTTATTTCCTATTATCAACATTATTATTACGACTTGGTAGTATTACTACTACTGCTATTATTATTATTATTATTATTATTAATAATAATAATAATAATGTTAATGTTATCTTATTTTAAGTTTCTTACTTGTTATATTGGTGATAAGTCAATTTTTTATATCTATATTTATGCTAAATTATTAAAGATAAGTTATAGTAAATAATATAATTTCTACATACAAATTATATATTGCATTAGTTATAATATTAGATATCCATCATTTCTTCACAAATTTGAAGCCCAAATTGTCAATTTAATAAGCTCACAATTGGCCCATTATCTATCAGAAATAACTAGGTCAAATATGCCAAAGTAACTTGGCCAAATCTTGCCTAATTACCCATTCTCTTCATTCTATCCTAGAGTTCAAGAGTTTTTAGCAGTGTTGCCTGTTTCCTTTCTTTCTTATCATTTTTACAAAAATAATAAGTTTTGTGTCAACCATGGGCAGAGGTTAGGTACTCTTTTTTTCGTGCTATTCAATATCGTAAATTTTGCAAAATCTGTCCTAAAAGCTTCAAACGTTTGAATTGGAAGACAATTTCAAAATTTGAAATTTTATTTTATGCTCAAGAACTGTGATTTCTCCCTTTAAATACTTGTATTTAGAGTCCATTCAAACAAGATTTTTAGACACTGTTTTGCCCCTAAAGTTTTGAAGCGACCTCATCCCACTCTTAAACTCTTTTTGTTTATCCTTGTGTAGCTATTTTTGGATTTGAACTTTCTAATCTTATTGTTCGAGTTTGAGAATAGACCTGCTAATGAAGCAGCTGAGTTCACAGCCCAACTCAAGGTATTTGAAATTTTAATGTTTAATATTCATGTTTTGATACTTGTATGAAGTATGAATATCTTTCTTTTATTTCGATTTCTGGATATGGTGAGCATACATATGCAGTATGTCTCTATTGATTTTGTTTCTCACTCATCGTTAGTGAACATTAGTTTTACTATTGATAATTCCTTTCTTAATTATTTGAACACATTTATTTTATTCATACCTTGTTCTTTTATATTAGAAATCATATACTTTTTGTGTCATGTACATAAATTTTATTGTTTATTATTCTGTATGGTGATAAGATTCTGTTTGAGTCATTTCTTTTGAGATTTATTAATCGTTATGCCTAGGAGTCATTATTATCAAGTTCCTGTTAATGTTAATTATTATCTATGTCTATTATGTAGGTCATCCTTCTGATTTCAACTTATTGAATAGGAGAACTAGCATATTTGCCCTCTAAAATGTTTAGACATCTTGATATTAGGAAGTAGTTTTACATGGTTACGATACCCATCTATGAATAGTCACCCCTTACTCTCTTTCAATTTTGATTTGTGATTAGAATACTATGTGTGCTGTAAGAAAAATGGTTCACTTTAGCTATTATAGAAGTACTGTTAAAAGATGCATTTATGTTTTGTTTGAGAATTGAAACTATTTTCCTTCATATTCTTGGTAGTATAAATTAAAGATTATTGCATTTTAGTTCATATGCATCATTTTTATTGTTTGCCCCCAAGTTGATGATCATTTGGCCTCTGTATAATCTGTATGAAGAGACGTATTGAAAGGATATGGTGTTGGTTTTGTTTGAGTTAAAATCATGTTGCAAATCATGTACTTTGGGAACAAAGATATAGAGTTGTGGTTGTAAACACACACGGCCTCCGTCCCTGCAGCTTCACTTTTTAGCTTTATGCATAGCAATTCCAAGACAGGAATCTTGATAAGCTTTGCACGTTTCGTGTTTTAGATAGCATATTCATTATAAGATTTTACTTGGATCAAGATTTGATTTGTTCAATATCGTTTAAATTCAATTTGTTTTACAAATCTCCTTACTCTTTCTTTCCATGCATGAACTTTGGGAGAAATAATGGAGTCTCTTCAAAGACTCTTAGTGTCGTACTTTCTCTTGCCACCGCTAGATTTGAAAGCGCGCATCCACTCTTCGACTTTGTGTCTCCCACCTCTCGATAGTTCATGCAAATAGGCATGGCAAAGTAGCAAAAATTTCTGAAATTTATACTTTTTCGTTTCTCATTTTTGTTATATTTCTTTTTAATGATGCTTGTGAATATATCTTATGCGACACTTTTATTGCTCTGATTGTTATTCTTGGGATTAATCTCTAATCAACCATAGAGTAGTTATCTTTAGTTTTCATTTGGTAAGCTTTTAAAACATTATATTTGCATCAGCTGAACCAACTAAATTATTTTTAAAAAAAAAATCTGTTTAAACATGGCAGTATCTTTCAGAAAAAATATAGTAAAATGTTTTTGTTTAAACTATTTTTTCCTGATATATCTTCAAAAGGAAACATCTCATTAATCCCTGAGCAGAGGTCACTTTTTATTACATTTTATCCGTGAATAAGGATCAATAAAAATGGTTTACACAAATTATCTTTTCTTAAGTCTTAACACTTCTAATCTAAATGCAAAAGAGTTTTAAAGGTTAAAATGTTTACCAATTTGGTTACACTTTTATTTAACCTTTTAGCACCCACATTTAGTTTTTAAACTAATTAACCTATGTTTGGCTGATTAACTATTTTTAACAAATCTTAAAGGATGTGTTACACCTTCCCTTTAGGTTAAATTAGAATTCTTACTTAGAATTTCATGAAGTTAAGTAAACCTTAATTTAGTGTTAATTTTAGCAATACTTTAATTAATTATTTAGGTCTCCTGATAAGTCGTTTAAGATAATTACGTGGTGACTCCTTAAGTTAATTAATTTAGGAATTATCAATATGTTGTAGACCTATTTGACGTGAGTTAAAATAGGGTATAACCCTTATTCATCAATCTTTTAGCATTTTTCTAAGGTCTGAACGGCAATTTCATTATTCCTAGTTAAGATATATTTTATGTACAACAAGAAAACTAGCTAAGATTGCAATTACAAAAATTAATCGTTGTTATGAAGTTTTCATCTGTGGTACCCCTTTGTATGTTTTTACTTGTTATTCTTCAAAATTTGATAAACCTCCTTGTTGTGCCTATGTGAAAATATGAGTATAAACTATTCTCCTTGCATTAAGAATGTTTAGATTTCAAGAAATATGCTACTCCATTAAAGGATCACTTAATTTCTTTGATTTTTCAAATTTGAGTCCTTAAATAGGAATTTTTTTTGGAATGAGATGTTCTAATGTATTTATAATTGTAACATTTTTTTACGGCTAGTGGTACTCCATGTTGTCAAAATATGTATCACTTTTATATTCATTTACAACACCGTCCTATACATGGAAAGTGCTCCACACCTTCTTGTTACAGATCATTGCATATTTGATCCGCATTGCTTTGATATTAGCTTTCATATTTTTCTTTTTAATTACTTCTTTGTTTGTTTGATCCTATATTCTGTCGAAAATAACATCTCTATCGCAAAGTAGTAGTGGTAAGATTGGTGTGTATTATACTCTCTCCAGACCCCACTTTATGGAATTTCATTCGATTTGTTATTCTATTTTTATGTAGGTATAAACATGACACATATTGATCATCGATGAAGTTGCTCTTATTTATTTTGGATTAACTCTACTAAAGGTGAATACAACTTATTGAATGTCTCATTCTTTCATTACATACCTTGTGTTTTATTACTGAAGATAGCCCTTAAAACAACAATTCTAGATGTGTTTGAGAGGTTTGACTTAAGTTTTATATCGGAAAACCAATTTGGAATTAGAGTTGAGTTTTATCTCTGAAAACGAATTTGGAAAATGTTGACAAATATGAAGTTGGTTGTCTAGCTAATTTTTCTTTATAATGTATTTGTTTTTATATCGTGAATTGATTTCTACTTCTTTCATCGATCATTCCTTCTTTTTTGTGTAGCGTATTTGTCCTTAACAATTATTGATGTAACTGAAAGTGACAGTTTTGATCATATCAGGTAATTCTCTCCCATTGGAATGTTTCCTTTTCCATATCAATGTGCTTGTTGGGATCTTATGTTTCCTTTTTTTATTAATTCCATATTTAATTCCTATTTATTGACTCAGAATTTAGAAGAGGTTTAGGGTTCTATTCTATTTGACTATAACTTTTTAAACTTGATTACCCAAATATAAAAGAAAGTTGACATTGATGGTGTGATTGAAGGCTTCTTCCTTTTGAATATACAACAAGAAGACTAGCTAAAATCACAATTACAAAAAATAGTCCTTGTCATGGAGTTCTCATCTTTGGTACCCCTTTGTATGTTTTTGCTTGTTATTCTTAAACATTTGATAAACCTCCTTATTGTCCCTATGTGAGCATATGAGTTTAAGCTATTTTCCTTTGCTTTAAGAATGTCTAGATTTCGAGAAATATGCTACTTCATTAAAAAGAGAACTTAATTTCTTTGATTTCTCAAATTTAAGTTCTTAAATAGGAATTTCTTTGGGGATGAGTTGTTATAATGTTTTTATAATTATGTGATATTTTTTTGTGGCTAGTTATATTCCATGTTGTCAAAATGTGTATAACTTTTATATTCATTTATAACACCGTTCTATACATGGAAGGGAGGAGTTATGTCAATATCACAATGTTCCACACCTTATTGATGTTACAAATCCTTGCATATATGATAGCTATTAGGTGTCATATTTTTGTTTTAATTACTACTTGATTTGCTTGGCCGATAGACTTTCAAAAACAACTTCTCTATCTCGAAGAGGTAGTGGTAAGACTAGTGTGTACTCTACCCTCTCCAGGCTCCACTTTGTGAAATTTCATTGGATTTTTTGTTAATGTTGTTGTATGCAGATCCATGCATAATGAAACACACCGAGCATTAATAAAAGATGCTCTTATTTATTTTGGAACAACTCAAATAAAGGTGAATACATCTTGTTGAATATATCATTCTTTTGGTAACATCTCACAAATTGAAATAACTAGGAAGAATCTTAAATTTGGAAATAGTCATTTTTGGAAAGAATTAAAAATCTAGAAATTCAGTAAAGTTACCAAAAGTGAGTTTTTGGTCAACTTCGAAGGACTGTGATTTCTAGCTCAGGATGAGCTAGGTGTACTTCCAGATATTGTTAGAAAGCCCTTCGAAAAATCTTTCAAATATCGCCGAGTTAGCACGACTTCGAGTAAGGATGAGCGAGTTATACCCTTTGGAAGTTGTGCTATTAAATTTGGGAAATGTCAAATTCGGAAATTTAAAGGGTAATTTTGTCTTTTCCTTATCCAATTAATTAAATTCGTTTTAAGTAAGTTAATAAGGGTCAAAATTGAGTTAGTTAAGTTTATGCGTTTGAGAAATAAAGTTAGGCTTTTGGAGAAGAGGAAAAGCTAGTTTCGCCAAGAACAATAGGTTTTGATTGTGGATTTCTTAAAGATTTTGATCCTAACAGGTATGTGAGTCTCTCATAGTGTTGGGTTTATTCACCCACGCGCCAAACATGTTTTGTTCAGCCCAACTGGTCCTTAAAGAGTTTGAAATTTGATGTTCTTGGCAATTCTTGCAATTGATGTTGTTCTTAAATTGGGTTGAATTGTGGAGTTTTAGAGATCTTTAGGTTGAGTTTTAGAGTTGCTTTAAGTAAGATTCATAAGTAATAATGTTAGGTATCAAAATCTAAAATTAATTTGAGTAAAATATTCAAGTTTAGGCGAATTAGGATTAGAAAATGAAGAAGGAAAAAGTCGTTCAGGTTTCGTCAAATAAGTCAGCGTCATGGACTTTTTTCCCCGGTGCACAAAAATCGGCTGCATCGCGGAGAGGACGCGGACTCCACTGTCTCAAAATTAAATTTCGTGAATAATTATTTAGGAGAAGCTCCATGCCGCGGACTTGTTCAAAGAGGGTGATTTTATAACTTTCCTCAAGTTTAGCTATTCGAATTCATTCCTAAACATCATGGGTCATTCCAAACACAAATCATAACCCTGAATCCATAATTCAATTAAAGGATCGATTAAGGTTCAATTTAATTAAGAGTTAAGATCAAAGTTATGAGTCAAGTAAAAGAAGTTCATTTCAAATTTTCATAAGTCTTTTACAAACGTTTTAACTTTTTTTTAAGAGTTGAGTTCAGAAAAGAGTAAAGCTTAAGTTCTTTCTTCAAAGAAGTATATGCGGAATATGTATTCTCAAAGAGGTTTCATATAAATGTATTCCTATATAAATAAGAATGGAAATTGAGGTTTCCAAAAAGCGTTCAGGTTAGTTTTCACAAAAAAGTAATAGCTTTCTAAAATGAAGCAAGTAGGGAAATTGAGATTTCCAAGATAGTCTTTGAGCTAAGTTTTTGAGAACTAACCTCAAATCACAGAAGAAGTATGTTTTAAAAACATAAGAGCTAGTATATCTGGGAGTAGTATTGAGCACTGAATTGAGGACGAGCATGAGTTCAGATAACTCACGTCTCCATAAAATCATGTAGCCACCATGGGTAGAAAAGGGTCATACTTCTTAGATGAACCCTTTTCACAGTAGACTAGCAGATCCATTAGGTTGTTCAGTTCTTATACCTTTGGCTGGGTATAGGATGTATTGGCAGTGTGAGGTACATCGTTATATCATCACTATAGCTCTTATGTGATGGTTGTCGGTTAGAGAATCTCCCACAGAAAGTATATGTATTTTTATATACATAGTTTATTTGTATTTTTACATACATCTCAAAGTTAATTGTATCTTTGCATACATACAAAATTTACAACATGTTTTTAAACAGATTATTTTATATTGCACTTGCTTTTAAATTGTTTTATATTTAAATAGGTAAATTATGTTGTAAGTTCTTTAGTTTCCTTTAGATTCTTTCTAACCTATGTTATTTAGCATTCCAACTCACATACTCGTACATTCAATGTACTGATACCAGTTGTTCTGCATCGTATTATGATGCAGACACTGGTAACGGGGTCGACATCCAGCGCAGTGGTTATCCAATAGAGCACTCCAGAGTCAGTTGGTGAGTCTCCTTGCATTTTGGAGGACTCCTTTAATTGCTTTCAGTATTTTTCTTTATAGGATGTTGTGGGTTCTATCCCAACATCTATCACAGTTGTTTTAGAGGCTTCATAAATAGTCAGATATGAGTCTTTTAGATTTGTATTTCAGATGTTTTGCTATGAGACTTAGTAGTTATTTGGCCAGTTGAATGATTTTTTATGACATTCTCAATTTATTTCACAAGTTCTTTATATAGACTATTCTTGTGTTTTAATTCTTCCGTTGAGTAAGTAAGTCAGGAAAGAATTTCGCTTAGGGCCAACAATGGTCTCCAAATGTTAGTCACATCCGGGGTGTGGTCTTGGGGTGTGACACTATCAATACCTCATGTTTTAATTTGATGAACATAAATCTCCTAACAACAATTCTAGAAGTGTTTGAGGGGTTAGAGTAAAGTTTAATCTATTAAAACCCATTCGAAAATATTCATTTGTTTTTATACACTAAAATAAATTTATTTCTTTATTAAATTATTCCTTCTTTTTGTGTGAAGTTTGTTTGTCCTTAACATTTCTTGATTTAAGCAGAAGTGGTAGTTTTGATCATATCAGGTAATTTTCTCCCTCAATGGGATGATTCCTATTTCCAAATCACCGTAATGGCTGGCATTGTTCTTATACCTACTTTTGTTATGAATTTCATATATAAATCATATTTATTGAGTCTGATCGTAAAAGAGATTTAGGATTCTAATCTATTTAACTATAAATTTTTAAACTTAAGTACCCAAAAATAAAAGGAAGTTGACATTGGGCGTGAGTGAAGGTTTCTTCTTTATGAATGTTGATTTTGAATAATGGAAAGCTCACCGTGTATTTAGGCCAACAACCAACAAAGTGTGTCTTTTAAAAATTTAAATGCCTCAACATCAAGGGTGTTCACTAATGGTCAATGAAACGGTTGAGAACCATGAGGTATCAAGTTTCTAACTCAGCGGAGACAAAATATACTAGGTGATTCTCTTAATTTTTCCTTGCCTTAATGCACATAGTTACTTGATACTTATAGTTGGTGGGAGGTGGCAAAACTAATGCATTTTCACCACTTCTAAGCCTTAATTTTCAAAAAGTAATCATTTTCATCCTATGTCAGCGTGATATGAGGAGGAGTAAATTGTCATAAACAATGGAACCATTAAGAAGCATGCAAAACCCTAGAATTTGGGTAAGATCTTAAAAGTGCCACGACCCCCACCGTCGTGATTGGAACCCACACTAACTATCCAGCGGGAGAATCACTACTACAACCCAAACCAAGCAACTAAACCAAAAGTAAAGCATTTAATTTATGAAAGTAAGTTAAAAACTAAGGAAATAAATAGGGAGTTCCCATAAACTTTAACAAAATTCTATCAAAACCTAGAACCTAAAAATGAATATACCAAAATATCTAAAGTTCAGCAAGTATAAACAAGAAGGGATGCAACCCCAATCTAAAGAACTACTACTAACTAAGCAAATGTCTAAGTCTGAAAATAGTGGACATAGATGAAAGAGAATTTCATAGCAGCCCAGAAGAATTGGCTCGCCCTTGAATTTGAACGATCAATTATATTCAAGATGAGGTCTGTCAATAGCCGTGTGAAGATGCCCTATACTCAACAAAAACAAAAGCAAGTGCAGAATCAGTACACAACCATAGTGTACTGGTAGGCTCACATGGTTGTCCCACTAAGTGCAACATAAGCAAGTCAAACAACATTACAATCACATGCATATATATATCAACATATACAATATCGTCAATATTTACAAACAACGATCAATTTTACAATTCTCAATATACACAATTATGTCTGGTAGTTGGCCCTGTCATTGAATCCAAACCCAAACCCAAAATGTTAGCATACTGGAAACGTGGCAATTCAACCTCATTCTTATGTCGTAACATAATAATCCAATCCAAGTAAGTTATACCAAAACTTGGCAATCTGATCCATCAACAAACCACAATCATAAACACAATTATGCTTTCAAGTCATACAATCAAGAGTGATTCATGGCATATAATAATTCGTCTATCTGATTTACAACAAGTGTGATCAATAACAAAAAATCCACATACATACAAGTATCATAATGAATCAAGAACATACATACATCACACAATCATCACCTACCTCGAACAAGCTTTAACCCCTAAGAATCTTGATCCTTCCCTTTCCGGATTCGTTTTGTTTGTTCTTGGTCTACACTCTACAAATGATCATAATAACACTGAAATAAAAAAAACAATCGCTAATTTTCCAAAACTAAATAATTTTATGAACCCTAGATCATACATGATTCCAATTATACAATTTAGGGTTGTCTCCACCATAGAATCTATATCAAAACCTTCCCCCATCAATATTAACCCATTCTATTACATTCTACGGATCGAAAAACGGATTCGGAGAGTGGAAAACTTACCTTTAGCCTCAATAATGGTGGAAATGAGTAGGAGTTACCTGGGGTTCATTTCTAAGATCAAAAGGTCGAAAAATGCATAATAAGATCGTTTAGGAGTTTATTAACGACCCTAAGTCGCGTCGACCTTGCCACAGTGGCCCTTACCCACTGTAGCGGCTCCGCCAGAGTGGCAGAAATCCCAGCCAGGGTGGGTTACATGAAGTAGTGAGCTGATTAAAGAATTCCAAAATCCCAATTTTACAACACAGCCCTGGCCCACAACGCTCAAAAAATACTTTTTACGCTAAGATCGATTGAGAAATCTACTTGCCCAAATTCAATTATGTAAAATGGTCTAACTACTCATGGAATAAAAAACATAAATGAATCACTCGATTTCTTCCATATTTCCCTACATCTTAATTATTTCAATATCGTCCAATTCTGGACTAGGTTAGGAAAATTTCAAATACTACAAAAAAGTTTCCGACCCAAAACTTTTTCCCGTTGGCTTTTCTATAACGACGGAACCTAAACGTTAAAAAAAGAGTACCTGAGAATTTATTGGGACTCAATAGATGGGTAAGGATCCATTGATGAATTTTTTACATACTTGATGATATCTAGATTCGAAATTGAAAGAGAAGACTTCAAAGCTTGAAGAATCCTAATCTACTTGAGAGATTCCTTGGAGAGAAAACCTTGAGAGCTTTTGGGGGTTTTGAGTAAATGAGAGGGAATGAGTAAAATTTGAAGACTAAAATCAGTTATAAGGCCTTAGAATATTCTAGAAGTGATGTAGTTTAGGTGTTAAATGGGTAGAAAAAGCCTCAAGTAACCTTGAACATAAAACTACTGGATCGATTCTACTGACCTATGTACGGTATGTACAAACTATTATGGATTGTATTGGTCATTCGTAGGTTGAGTTCGAGGTAGGTTGAGTTACTCGAGACAAATTTTCTTAGCAAGAACCACAACCACGTGCTACGATTTGTAGACCTTTTTATGGGTTGTAGTTCTCGACTCTAGAACCCTAGATCTCAAAAATATTTCACAAAGTCTGGAACCTTCCTAACGACCCATTCCTACGGGTCGTAAGTTCTCCTATGGACTAAACTGATCAACTGTGGAAAATCTTTAGAGACTCCACATTTTCAGTTTTTCGAAGGCTCTTCCACGACTGTCTTTTCATGGACGTAGGACCTTGTACGGTCCGTAAGTGGCCTCGTACAACAGTGAGCCAACAACCATTTCTGAAATCTTTTTCCAACTCAACTTATCAAGTTTTGAGGTGTTACATATTCTTTACCCTTATGAGCATTAATATGTATGCATGTTATTTCGGGAGGACTATTTAATACCAAGAGGATGTACGTCTAGAAAACTCATGTCCCATAACTATGTGTCACTGTAGGTTTTGAGTATACCACTTTGTCAGACAACTCCATTTGGCCCTAAGAGGCTTAGATTAACGAGTGCACATAGATATATAGGTTTTATACTATGGAAAGGTATAGGGCAACCCTTCCAACTAGATTATAGGTTGGACATCATGAGTTCACATGGTGTATGTTGGTTATAAAAAGACTCTCCAATTTATGTTTTTTTTTTATGATATGCTCTTAACATTTTTGATTCACTTTATGTACGCTATTTACAATTATGATTATGAAAGACTACTAATATACTCATATCTATATATGCTTTTGAAAGAAGACTGTGAATGGTATTAAGACATGAACTCTGATTATTTTCTCTTCAGTTATTTCAATATATGATTTTAGGAACCTTATTTCACTATCCTCGTTATGCCATTTTTACAATTATGCTAGTTCCTCATACTTAGTACAATGAACGTATTGACACATACTTTGCAATGTAGTGCATCCTTCTATGTTTTAGAATTTTGCACCATACTAAGACTTGTGGATAGTGAGGTTGTAATAGTTGGTGAGTCCTCTTTATTTGAGAACAACCTAGAGTAGTTGTTAGTCAGATTTTAGTAGTTTATTTCGTTTGAGGTAAATAGGGGTCATATATTAGTAAACTTATTTTCTAAAACCTAAATATTAGAAACTTATTTCAGACATTAGTTGTTCAAACATCATGGATTTGTTGATTTTCTTATTAAGACTTACTAAGAATATGTTTCATCTTCCGCATTAGTTTCATATGATATACTTTAATTTATTATGCCAAAGGTTAACATGGGGTCATTCCTGGTTTCAAGTACCATGTCTCGACTTGGGAATATACTTGAATCATAATATATTTTTCTGATCTTGTATTTATCCATCAATATTTACAAGTCGCACACATACTTTAAGTTATGAGAGGTTATAGAATATCTGGTATTTCACATCTTTGCATTGTTTAAACAAAGAATGAGATGTAACAAAAGCTCCTTCACAAAGTCTTAGTGAAGCAAAGAACTTTGTTAGTGATCTAATGACACATGTCAAAAAGGAGTCGGTAGACATCGATATTATTCAAAAACACTTTTGTTTTTTAGCGATTTTCTAAGTCCATGGGCATGGCAAAGCATTGGAAGAATACAAATCATTGATTAGAGAAATAACCTCCCATGGGTAAAACTAAACTACAACTAGGAGGATGACGTGAATATTAGTGTCATGCCTAATAACACTGGGGTTACACATCTATTCAAGGTTTTTCTCTTAATTTTAATGTATCCTTTCACCATCAGCTTTGTGTTTCCCTTCCCCATATTATTGAGTATTTTTATCAAAGGTGGCATGCTTTTCTTGTTATACTTTGTCCCCAATTTTGGAGGCTTATTAGATGTATACAACGTTTGGCTGACTTGATAAATATTGAACTTTTTTCCTAGACCACCTACTTCTTTATATTCTCCTTGTCAAGGTGACGTTATTTATATCATCTCTCAAAATAATTATTTAGTCTGGATTACAAACTCCTCAGACCCTAAGCACATACAACACTGACTCGCGCTTTCTTCAATGTTGTCAAATGAGGCAAACTCAGAAGGAGGTGATGTCCAATGTAGCGGCAAAAGAAGATGACAACGGACAAGATTTTTCATAATGTTCTATCCTTTTATTTACCTTAACATTTGTGGAAGAGTCAATTGCATACTTATTAAACTAACAATAGTAAATGTTTATATGAAAAAATACTTGGATAGGTACCTTTTAATATATAATTACTGATTTTAGCAATTTTTTTTATTTATTATCATTTTGTAACACCCCAAAAAAGCTAGTAGGCTAAACTAGAACTTAATGTGAGGGTTAGAGTCGTAGATATGGGTTCCCGTACTTAAAATAAAGGGTTTAGGTTTAAAACGTCAAGGTACGACTCCCAAGGACCAACCAAGGTTCCTTGAGAAGGACCTTATAAACCACCTAAATGTTTCCCAAAACAATCCACTCACGAGGGGACCCACGCCCCGTAGGAGGGTCCACGACTCGTAGATGTATTGTGGGTCAAGTCCCCTAGATCACACTTGCAAAACCTCATCCACGGATGACCAACACGGACTGTGGATGGACCCACGACCCTTAGATGTGGTCTCGTGGGTTGGGGCAGTAGTGGGTTAAGTCAGTTTAAGTTGTGTCTTAAGGAACTTCCTAGAATTAATTAGTTATTAAGTGTTGTCATATTATTAGTAATTAGACCATCTATATAAAGCTATTAGACCCCTAATTAAGTGGTTCTAAATTATTATTTCAATTCACCCAAAAAAGACCCAATTCCCTCTAAGAAATTTTCTCTCTACAATTCACCCAAGAGACTCCTTCCATCCATGAAGCCCCATGACCCAATCCCCAATTCTAGTTAGGGGTCCTTCCTATATTGTGGGTATTTTGCGTGATGATCCAATTGAGTGGATAATGGTTGTTTATGATTGTTTATAATGTAATTATATGTTGTTATTATGATTATGCATGTAATTAACCTTAGATTCTAGGGTGAAATTGATATAGTTTGGTTTTATGCCATGAAAGAGGAAATTGAGGGCTTAGATATGACGTCTTAAGATTGATGAATTACTTGAGACTAGAACACCTAAATATGAATTCTTTAAATGTAAATATGGTTGATATGAGTTGATTAAGATAAGGGTTGATATGATGGATCACGAATTAGTTATGTTGAGATTGAAGTTACACGATGATATATGACTATAATTGGTTAAGAATGAAGCATGTAGCTAGATTAACTTGAGAATTAGGTGTGTATGATGACCATGTGAGGAGTTGCTTGAGAGTAAGGTTTGTAATATGAACGTGAGTACTAGGGCCTTGAGGGTAAAAGCTAATATGAATCAACTAGGAATGTTAATGCGTTAAGAGTGAAGTTATTAGGTATGTTGAATTGTATATTGTAAATTATTATGGAGAGACTTCACTAACATGACCTATATTATGAGTATATGAGATTATGGATGTAGTAATTGAACTAATTGAGTTATGTTATCATTCATGTCTAATGTAGTAACTCTAGATTTGTTCATTGAATATGAGTTATGGTCCTTGAAGGGCAAATTATGTGAATTATACATGATTACGAGGTTTATGTATATTATTTAAGAATACTTTAAGAATGGAGTGATTTTGATTATGATCTAGTGGTTGTGCAGTTGAACGGTTACTCTCATCTACACACCTATGTATTAATAGATGATTCTAAGGTGGAAAGGTTATTCTAACCTATTGAATTTATGAGCTATCTTATGAATTATGTTGGATTGAGTGTCAAGGAATTCTAAAATGAATATGATCTTAAGTATGAGATGATCTTAGCACCGAGTGGATGAGTATGAGATGGAAGCTTTTACCGTAGTTGAGTCCAGCTTCCCATTTGAAAGCTTTTACACTAGTTGAGTCCAGCTTTTCCAAATGGTTCCTTCTACCATCGTTGAGTCTAGGTTCCCAAAGTATGTATCTCATGAGATGGAAACCTTCTACCCTAGTTGAGTCCGAGTTTCTAGTATCACATAATTATGTGACCACATAGGTCTTTAGCTAGTGGATCCACCTAAGCAAAGAGTATGTTCTAACTTAGGCAAGTAGGACAACTATTTTCGGTGTGGGCAACACTGGATTCCATGGTAAGCTCACATGGTCTATGCCACTTAAGGCTTATTCCCACTATAAACAAGAATATTAATTATGAACTATGGTTACTCAAGAAGTTTTACTTAGGCATGAGTGGGATTATGGGATCTTATTCATGTATTGCACAACTAAGCTTTGAGGGTACTTATGGTATGTTTCTATTATGCTATGATGATTTATGTAATGAATATGTTTATGTCTTATGCTTATGATTTATGCCTGATTTGTTTGTTGCTATAAGTTACTTTCCTTGATATGTTTGATTAAAGATCTATGAGAAATAAGTTAACGATGAGATTAAAAAATGATAAAGATGAATGAGAACCTAAAGTGACTTCCTTAGCATGAATGAGATTATGGGTTTTTATCCACGCACAGCACAAACTATCCTTGAAGTGGCTTATGAAATGTCTCTCTTATGTCATGCTAAACGAGATGCATTGATTTTGCTTATGACTATATTGTTATCTACTATATCTTATGATGATGTTTCTTATGCTTATGACTTATGTTATTGTCTCTTATGATTATGGTGTATGTCTTATGTTGACTAATGTCTATTATATGCTTGTGCTTATGATTTATGCTAGTCATCATATTTAGTACATTATTGTACTAACACATACTTTTGCCTACATTCTTATCAAATGTAGGGTTCGGCGATATTGACTTTCATCCTCATGGCTAGGTTTATAGTAGATTAAGAAGAGAAGCTATGGTGAGTCCTCATAGCATTCGAGGACTTGACAACCATGTCTTTTATATTTCTTTTATGTTTTGAGATTATTGTATGGGTTGTGTCCCAAGAGTTATTCAAAGTTGTTTTAGATGGTTTGTGATTAGGGTAAAGAGACTTCCGCTTTGCTTTTATAAACACTTCGATTGTATTAAAAATGTTATAAATTTTTGTACTCTTCTATTATCTTATGTTATGATTTGCTAAGTGGATTACATAGAGTCCTTTGGGGTTCTATGTATGTTACATCTAGGGTGTATCTCTGGGTCGCGACACATTTATAGCAACACATAGCAATATCATGATAAATCTATAGTATTTATTAAAAGTGATTTATGTATACAATATATATGTATTATAGTTGTTTTAAATATTGGTAATAAATTGGCACATTATATTAAATATTTGATAAATATATTATCCATCAATAAAACTTGTGTTATATGTGCTTTATAAATTGTTCTCTATAATAAATACTAAAACTATATTATAAATGTATTAAAAGTGATCAAGTAAAAAATATGTTATTGCTAATGTTTTCTTGATATAGTATATTTATGTAATTTTCCTTATTTATAACTTTCACGCACAATTGTAATATTTGTCACATTTCAAAATAGTCAACTTTTTAGTGAAAGATAATTTAATTTTATAAATTATGAGAATATTTTTATGTCGATTGAAGAAGAAACAAGGGAGGGAGACTACTACTTATTTTAATATTTATTTATTTATTTGGTAGTAAAATATATAGCAAATGTCAAAAGTAACATTTTGATTATTTAAATTTTCATTGAGTTCGAATTATCACATAATATTATAAATTTTATAATAATTATTGAATATTTGTTCTCCTTCCTAAATTTTATATTTGTTATAGATCAAATTTACATTTGATAGTACTTACTTATCTTATTTGTTCCACTTAGTTATTTGTATTTAGTTTTTCAATTATTCATTTAATATATTTTAAAACTAAAAAAACGCATATATGATTTTACATTTCAATATTCTTGTGGTTATGACAATTTAATTCACTGTTTTCGTTCTGAGTTTTGATATAGTATTAGAGCAAAGGATCGATCAGCCATGCTCGTGTCTGTCATTCTCATGAAGATCTCTCATTTCCCAGCTAGTTTCAGGTTTACCTGTTCCTTTCCTCAATAATTATTCTTCAGTTTTTCTTTTACTTCTTACACATTCTCTTCTCCATTTCTGTTGATTGTTTCTGTTGCATTACAATGGTAAAGGTTACTAATCTAGAGGTAACTAAGGGAATTGAAATAGGAAGTATGTTATACCTGCATCTAAGGGTGGCAGCGGAATCGGTATTTACCGGTTACCGGTCCGGTCCGTCCCGGTCCGATTCGGTACCAGTTAGTACCAGTATGGATCGGTTCTTTTCGGTTACGAGACAGGTACCGGGACGGAAATCGGTATTTCCCGGTTCCGAAAATTACCTGTCTGATTCGATCCGGTCCGGTTAATTTTATTTATTTTTTAAAATATATTCGTTAATAGCCGTTGGGTAAGGGCTAGTGCCCCCCCTCCCCTCCAATGGCTATTGGAGTAAAATTTCAGCCAATAGAAGCCCTACTCCACGCCAAACTTTTTTAATACCCTAAAGTTATAAAAATTACACTTTAACTCATTTTTTTACTAATAAATACCCCTAAATTTCATTCTTTTAAATCACAAAATCATGTATTCATCTTCTACTCTCTCAACTCTCTACTCTCTAATCTCTAATTCTATAATATAAAATATCTTTAAAATCTACTTTATTAAGAATAAATACAGATAATTATACACATGTTGATGATACGGTTTTTAATTTTGATAATAATTCAGAATTAGATCCTTATCATGAACATTTACAACGTCGCTTTGGTAATTTTGATGAGGATTTGCCTAGTGATAATGATAATGATATTGATAATTGTACAGATACGCCTACTTTTGATGATGATGATGATGAAACTGAGCCACCTACGGGTACTAATACTCCCAGTCCCGCTTCCTTTCGTTGTCCAACCCCTGTTCCCCCAGTATATCCTAGGCCTAAGGTAGAACGTGTTAAAAAATCGGTTGTTTGGCAATTTATGACACAAAACGAAGATAAAACACAAGTTATTTGTAATAAATGTATACATAGATTAAATCATAAAACTGTTGGCAAATCTGACGGGACGGGACTTTTGAGTAGTCATTTAATGTCTTGTTGTAAAAATGAATTTTTCCATGCTAAAGCGGTGCGGAAGCTAAAAAAAGGTACCCCCTTCCTGAAAATGTAGGAGTAGGCGGCTCTAACATGGTACAAACACAATTAAATCTGTCTAATGTTTTTGGCTCTAGTTTACCACTTTCATATAGTAGAGAAAAAGATCTCGAAGAACTAGCTAAAATGGTATGTGTTATGGGTTTGCAATTTAGTTTTACTGAAAATTTCGGTTTTATACATTATATTCAAATTGTATATAATCCAAATTTTTAAGGTTTTGCTAGAAATACAATAAAAAAAAGGTTGTATTTGATTATCATGCGCAACATTTTCAATATCTTCGTTGTTTATTTTATTATAATACTTGTAAAATAGCTATTACTATTGATATGGGTCGTAGTGTAAACGGTAACGATTATTTGACTGTTACTGCACATTGGATTGATGAAAATTGGTATATGCAAAAAAGAATTTTAGGTTATAAATGTTGTGAAATGCAAAAAACCGGTAGTTATATTGCTCAAACTATTTTAGATATTTTACAAAGTTATGGAATATGTGATAAAATAAGTAGTATAACCTTAGATAATGCTTCAAGTAATAATGTTGTTGTTGAATATTTAAAACCTACACTTTGTCCTTTCTATGGTGATAATTATCATATTAGGTGTAGTGCACATATATATAATTTGATGATAAGAGATGGTGTACATATGTATGATAACGGATGTACGAAAGTTGAAAATGCATGTCATTTTATATTTAAATGTCAAGTTAAGTCTAGGCGTAAAGATTTTCAATATCGCTGTTTTGAAAATAATCTTCCACCTAGAAAAATTCCAAAAACAGTGGCTACTAAATGGAATACTTTATATGAAATGCTTGTAGTCGCTTATGAATATCGAATACCCTTACAAATGGTTTGGAATGCTTATAATTCTGATATGACATATAGACTAGATGATAATGATTGACATGATATAAATGAACTTATAGATTTCTTTTAAAAAAAATTACTTAACTACAAAAAGAATATATGTACTTTATAATGCATCAATTTGTACTGTTTTGCCTGATATTTGTATGATTTCTTCTAAATTATATAAATTTAAAAATAAACCAAGATTTCAACAAACCATTCAAAAAATGATTCTAAAATTTAAAAAATATTATATTCCTATTCCTCAAATTTCTTTAACCGCATGTTTGTTAAACCCTAAGTATAAAGACTTAGGTGCATCAAGAATGGTTGAAAAAATGTATTCTAACTTAGATATTAATGAAATATTAGAAGAAATTCCTAGTTGTCAACAAGTTAAAGATAGCACAAAAATTGAAGCTAGAAAATTGTATGATTTATATAATTCTAATATAAATTTATCAAGTGAAAATGAACCTGAAAGCTCTAGGGTTAGATTTGATGAAAATAATATTGATGATTATTTACAAGATTATCTTGAACTTTCTTACGATATTAGAAATGATTTTGATGCCTATATTAAACAAAGTACAGAACCTACTGAAGATATTCTCCAATGGTGGAAAAATCGCGGCAAAGGATTTCTAAAATAAGTACCGATGGCTCGAGATATATTAGCAATGCAAGCGTCGTCGGTAGCTTCGAAAGGCGTCTTTAGTGCAGCAAGGTTTCAACTTGGAGAACATAGGCATTCACTAGCAGCCGACAACTTGGAGATATCGATATTATTTTGAGATTAAATCAATGCCGAGAGAAGAAATTTGGGTCGTGAACCACTACAGACCAAATTTCAAGATGAGGTTGATGAAGTAATGCAGGATTACAGTGACGACGGGATAGAAGCAATGGAAGATCTTTCTATTCAAACAATTCCCGAACATATTATTAAAGAAATGTTAAATGATTTACGAAGAGATTTATATGGTGGCACCAACTATTAGTAAAAGTATGATAATTCGAGATTAAATTCAAACAGAACCCTTCCTAGAAGGTGCCTGTGTAGATTAAATCTTTTAATACTCTACTAATATTTTTGTAAATGTAATTGTAATATCAAATAAATATTAATAAAAATATAGGCAATTTGCCTTAATTTGTATTTTAATATTGTTGTATTAAATTTAATTTTTAATATAGTCAATTTTTAATTTTATAACTTTAAAGTTTAAATTTAAAAATTTCAAACTTTAAGAGTTTGAAATTTAAATTTTATAACTTTAAAATTTTCAAACTTTAAAAATTTGAATTTAAAAATTTCAAACTTTAAGAGTTTGAAATTTAAATTTTATAACTTTAAAATTTTCAAACTTTAAAAGTTTGAATTTAAAATTTTAAAGTTTGAAACTTTAAAAGTTTGAAAATTTAAATTTGAAAATTTAAAAGTTTGAAAATTTTAAATTAAAACTTTAAAGTTTGAATTTAAAAATTTCAAACTTTAAGAGTTTGAAATTTAAATTTTATAACTTTAAAGTTTGAAATTTTTTGATTTTTTTTAACTTTTAAAGTTTGAAATTTAAATTTTTAATTGCTTAATTATTATAATAAAAATTGTATTCAATTAAAAAAATTAAATCTTTAACTTTTTTATTTTTTTAATTACCGGTCCGGTCCGGTCCGATATACAACCGGTTCCCTTCCGGACGGGGACGAAACAGTACAATTTTTACCGGTTTCTCGAACCGTCCGGTACCGGTTCCAGAACGTTATCGATTGCACAGTATAGGTTCCGGTAATTACCGGATCGATTCTCCCGATTCCGGTACCGCTGCCACACTTACCTGCATCCATTAGATAATCCAGGTGCACCTCTTGTACCAATTATTTTTTATGAAATTGGTTATCAATCCTGGAGAAGTGGCATCATCAGGTCTTGGTTAGTAAAGAATATTGGGTTTCATCAATGAAGATTCTAAGAAACCACTTTCTATAGGCCCAGACTACAAATAGTGGGAGAGGTGTGAAAATATGGTTACATCATGGATCCTGAACTCTCTGACAAAGAAATTGTTGATAGTGTACCATACGTAGACATTGCTTTGGAGTTGTAGACTTTTAGAGGATCGTTATGATCAAACCAATGGTGCCAAGTTGTATCAAATTCAAAAGGAGATCAATGATCTCATTTAGGG